GCCAGGGCCCTGGGCCCAGCTACAACTGTCTCCCCAAGAACATGCCAGAAAGGTGCCCCCTCCTGGCAGCTGCCATCCTCAGAACTGCCTGGGGTGACGCTCCAACTAGAGTCCACGGCTGCCCTCTGGTGGCCACGAGGGGACTCGAGCGCCAGGAGTCTCAGGCGGCTGCCCTGTGGGAGGGGCGTCCCAATTCATGACTGTCCTTTCAAGCCAGCACTTATAGTTCCAGGTCAATTAGAAACCCTGTCACCAGTCACAGAACAAGGGGCAGGAGTCATCTGGGGGAATTAACTGCTGGAACAATAGGGCAAGGCCCCTGGAAAAAATTACTGTCCGTCGGATACACTGAATGAGTAACTGGGTAGTGGCTGCAGACTTAGCCAGCGTGATGGAGGCCCAGGCTTCATCAAAGCTCAGGATAAAAGCAGCACTGTCTGGAGCTCAAGCAAACATCACCCACTCTGAAGAATGGAGAACACCACACCCTCTAAGTTATATGTCAAACCCTCAACTGGAGGGACGCTCCTGGATCCTGGGGGCAGGCACTGCTTGTGGCTCTCTGGTCCCTGGGGGGCAAAGCACTCAATTCTCAGCAGGGGCTCTTCTGGCCCCTCTGGAGGCTGGGTCCACCCCAGGTCCGGCCGGGAATGAACTCAGGCTCTCAGATTCCCACTCAGAAGCAGGTCCCACCATCTCTCCCTGTTCCTTAGGCCCTAAGGAGCCTCTTCTAATACCCAAGCAGCACCTTAGCTCCTGGCTCTATTCCACCTGGCCCCCGAGGAAGAACTGTGTCCTCAGAGTCCACCCTGTCCCAGCAACACCCCCACCTCGCTGCCTTTTCTTCCCTAGCACGGAGCACAGTCTGACTGACTACTTTTGGCTCCTTCACTGTGGGCTTCCACTGGGATATAAGCTCCATAGGAGGGCACCTCGTCCTGTTCCTGGCTCCAACCCAGTGAATCAGGCGGGGTGCCTAGCACACAGTGGGCTCTTGTCTGGGCTTTCTTACCTTAGCCCCATTCCCCCTCCTGGGCCGTGACCCCTCTGAACACTCCAAGAGCCCAGCAAGTGGGGGTGAATGTAACCAGCAGGAAATGGCGCTGGAGCCCTTTAAAGGGCTTTTCAGAGCTGCCCTGGAGAAAACTCAGTGTCCGGTATCTGGGTTCTAATCTCCCACTAACCTTCTGCTTCTCACACCTTAGTCTGCGACAGTGGTTCTCAACTGGGGGCAATTTTGCCCCTCCCCACCCCTACTTCAGGACATTTGTCAATGTCTGGAGACATTTTTGGTTGTTATACTTTGGGGTGAGGGAGCTACCGGTATCTAAAGGGTAGAGGCCAGTGATGCCCCTAAAACCTTCAATGGACAGGACAGGTGCCCACAGACCCAGTTTAGCGCCAGATTTGCTGGCAATGCTACCTGTTAACCCTGTGACTTCACCTCTCCTTTCTTCAGTAAAATGGGGGTATTATTAATCCCCATTTCAAAGCATTCTGCCTGGCATGAAGTAAGTACTAAACAAATAATTAGCTACTTTTAAGAAGGTGTGAAGAAATTAATTAAAGCCCAGCTGGGCACACAGGGCTGTGACCTCTGCTTTACAGATCTGTTGCATTTTGGGGCCACCTCTGAGCTGGATGTGGCCCCAGGAAACTAACAGAGGGACTGAGTTGTTGCCATGTGTCCTGGGGACTGCTGCTCACATTCAAACTTTCAAATGTTTGGGCTGTTTGCTTGGAAAGAAATGATTCAATTTCCATTCCTCTTTATTTGGGAGGCGCCAGAGGGCGGGAGGGAGAGCGGGGAGAAGTCAGTATCCTAGTTTTAAGGACTTAAGTTTGTGCTTCAGGAGGAAAAGAGTTTGAAGGGAGGGGAGCAGAGTAACAGGAACAGAAAAGTAACTGAAATGACTTGGGATTTCCTGGAGGGTGATGGTTAGTTAATGCCTCTGCCCACTGCTGGCAACACGCACACCCACGCTCAGCTTGAGCGTGCAGAACGCAGAAGATAGGGGAAGAAACAGGCCCACTCTGAAGAGGGTGTGGGACCAGCTAAAGAGAGAGGAGCCACTCCCTCTGGGAATGACGACTCAGGTCCCAGAGAGGCAACGAGAGTCCCTGGAATCAGCCCAGAGACTGGAACCATCACCAGAGTCCTCCTGTCCTTCTCCCACGACCCTCCCCCCCGGCTGCCCTTCCACACCCCAAATTGGAAAGGGCATGGGATTCCAGGCCACTCAGATCTGAAATTGAAATCCCAGTGGGTGAGGCTGGGCAAGGTACTCAACCTCCTTGAGCCTTTGTCCCCTCGCAAGTGGAGTGGGGTCACACGACCTTGTACAAAGCATGCCATCCAGTCTGGCATATAGCAGGTGCTTGGAACCTGTTGGTCTTCTCCTTCCTTCCCTCCTGGTCGTCCTTGACATTCACCGTAACCTCATCACACTTGCAGAAAATACAACGTGGGGAAGGGAAGCAGGCAGCTCTGAGGGGTGGAGATTGGGGAACTCAGCGGAGAGGGAGTTAACAGCAATGCCTCCTGTTCTCAAGGTATCTTTTCATTCCTTCCTTCTTCTTGGACCCTCACACCCCAGGATGCAGGACACACAGAAGCCCCCTGTTAGAGGGGAGGAAGCAGCGCTGGACGGTAGAGAGGAACTTGCTCAGGGTCACTGAGTGGCCTCCATCTCCAGGTCCTGTCCTGATGTCCTCTAGATGGTGAGGGCACCCACCAAACTCTTCCAACCAGAAGCTAGGACCACACCTACCAAGCCTGAGCACACTCAGGGGAACAAATGTCAGGCTGTGAGCAGCAGGGTTTCTGCTGTTGGCAGGGTAGCCTAGTGGTTAAGAGTGTCAGACGGGCCCTGTACACATAGTCCTGGCCCTGCCCATGACAGTCATTTATGTTCTGTGCCTCAGTTTCCCACGTGTAGAATGGGGATGCTAACAACAGCACCCACCTCAAAGGGCTGTTGGGAGAACTAAATATACATGCAAGCAAAGCATTAACAAGCACCTGGCACAAATTCAGCACTTAATAAGTGCCATGTATTAGTATAATGAATATTTGTTAAATGAATGAATGAGGGGACAGAACACTGAAATTAGAACTATCCCCTCCCCACAAAATCTACTCCACAGGGCTCCCACGCAGGAGGACAAGGGCACCTCTTCTACAGGAGGCCTCGGGAGAGAGGGCTTCTTAACCACAGAGCAGGTGTCAGTCAGCAAACTCTTTTCTAAAAGGGGCCAGGAAGTAAACATTTTAGGCTTCACCTTACCAGGTCTCAATTTCAACTGCTCAGCTCTGTGTGTGAGACAATATGTAAATAATGGGTGTGGCTATGTTCCAATAAAAGTTTATTTGCAAAAACAGGCTGCCGAAGTTCAGCAGCCCCTTCTTCCGAATCTCTGCAGGTAGGGGCTGAGAGTGGCATCTCTTCTTGTCCCCCATTTATCCCTGACCTGCAATTGCCCACTGGCGATTCCCCAGGGAAGAGGGCAGAGCTGGGGCAATGGCAGTCTCCAGTTAGAGACAGGCAGCCAGGCATAGCTGCCTGGGCAGTAAAAACAGGAACCAGCCCTCTGGGCCACTGTCTCACTGAAACTAAAGCTCAGCAATGAAAAAAGGACAAGAAAAGCAGATGGAGCTGGAGGAGAACCAGCATGCTCCCCAATATCCTTGTGATGCCCCCCAAGACCCACCCCAGGGGCCACAGGGTGATGTGAGGAGCTCAGGGCTGTAGGGCCACCAACCCTTGGGGGGGAGCTACCACTGCTCTCTGGGCCTCCTGGTGCACAAGTCCCAAATGGGGACACCACCGCCTCCCTGGGGACACCACCGCCTCCCTGGCCTAGCACTTGAGAAATTTTTTTAGAAAGAAAAAGAAAAGCAAAAGGTGTAAAGTTCAAGCATGCTATCATGCCAAGAACCACCTATTCAAAAAACATTTAATTAAAAGAATGAATAAAGGTAAATTTAACAAAATAAAACATACCAAAAATAAAATATGGGCTTCAAAGGGCTCTAGCCAGTCAGAGCAAAGCTCTGTGATCCTGACCTTTGTTTCCTCACCTGTGAGCACATGGAGCCCTCCCTTGCCCAGGATGTCCTCATAGCCCCAGACTAGTGTCTGTAGAGTGCAGAAATGATGCCAAGGAGGGAGCTGATAGGGCACAAAATCTCGGCTGCAGAGAGGTGCAGGAACCCCAGCTCCCACCAGTGAGTCCCTGGGCTGGTGGCAGCATTCCAGGCAGGTAGGACTGACCCTTGCAGAGCTGCCAAAGAGCCACAGTTGCCTGCAGCATGCCCTCCTGATTCTGTAGCTTCTCCCTCCCTCACCATCACCACCCACACACCCCATGAAGCACCCCTTTGGTCCCAGCACCCATACCACTATCCCATCCCACCCAGGGAAGCATCCACTGCGCTCTTCATACAGGGAGGACACAAAAGACTGAGGAGGGCGTGTGGCACCACAGTTCTTGGGTCTGAGGCAGGCGAGCATTCCCAGGGCCCTCCAGTCAACACACAGGAGAACAACCTCTTCTGCCACCTCATCAGCAGAGACAGTGGCCACACTTGCCCTCACATCTCACTGCCCCTTGGAAGCTGGAATGAGCAAGAATCAACTTCCCCATTTCATTTTTGGGGAGACTGAGGCTCAAGGAAACAAAATGACTTTACCCAACACCTGATGTGACAGTGAACAATACAGACAGGCACCTGCTGCCCAGCTCACGGTCCTTCGCGCTCGTCCTTCTAAAGAGACCCAGCTCTCCCCCGAAGCATGTGCAGGTTTTATTGCTCCTGAAGCTTGGCCCTTCACCCCAAGAGCGCCTCTGAGCAGCTCAGTCTGACAAAATGCGAACACTGATCCCCTCCAGAGCGCGTGCACACAGAGAGGAGGGAGGCCAGACTAACTGCCAGCAACGCCAGGAGCACCCAGCCCAGAGAAACACTTCACAGTCCCACTTGGCAGCCGGCGACCTACCCCTTCTTCAGGTTTGTCACGTAAGCGCTCTGGAGGGCAGCTTCCAGGAAGTAGGTGAGCTCATAGTCAACGGGGTGGGAGCCTTTCAGGTGCCGCGATGTGGTGTTATTAGTGATCTGGAAAGGGAACACAGAGAAAGCCACTGTCTCAGAGTTCTTAGGGTCAGTCTAAGCCCAGATGTCCCTATGGCCACCCCAAGTCCCCAACCACCCCATGGAAACGGGATGCAATTCTCAGACCAAATCCAACCTAACTTGCTTTAATTCACAATATGTCTATAGCACTCTCTCCCCATCCAAATGACAGATACCACAACAGCCCTACAAAGCTGGTTTTGTCTGTGTTTTATAGACGAGGTAACTGAGGCTCAGAAAGTACCTAAAGTCACAAAGCTGGCATGTGCCCTGACCTCAAACTCAAGTCTGGCCAGCTACAGATTCCAGGCTTTCTCTACTATGTATTGGTTCATTCATTCATTTAACGAACACCTGAGTGCCTACCATATGCCAGGCACCACGCTGTCCCTGTCGTACAATCATGAAACATCAAAATAGCCCAAGGGCAGCTTTTCCCCAGAAAAGCTGAGAAACAGTTGCATTAACTGAGTTGTCCCTATTAACTGAGCTCTAAGTCTCTCAGCTTTAAGAGGGCCACCCAGTCCCACCAAGACTGGCCTGCCTTTGAGAAGCCATGTCCCTTCTCTGATCCAAGAAAAAAAATCAATGAGTCAGCCACCTTATTTTTCAGAAATCAGAGTAGATTTAAGAGATGTTCTCCATTCCTCAGAGGTTGGAGCTGGGTCTTTGGAGGAACACACAGCATTTCCGAGAATGCACAGGGTTCTCTGGCTTGCCTTCCCTCAACCCAAGATAACCAGCTATCAGGGCCAACTGGCCTGCCCACCGCCACCAGGCACTGATTCCAGGCCTGGGCACCACTATAGCTCATCACCTCAATCCCCTTTTAAAAGCTCAAAGCCTAGGCTTCTGGCTGAATGGAAGACTTTATCTTTTTCATGAAAGTTTCCTCCAAACCCCACACAATTCAAATGTGATGTGAAGAGCACCTAAAACATTGCTGGTAGCAGTGATCCACGTGGCTCTCCCCGGGGACCTCTGCCAGGGAAGGCACTTGAGTCCTGTCTTTGCTGAGGGCCTAATCACTGCTTCTTTCCTCCTGAAGTCCAATCGAGGAGAGGGACTCTAGGGCAGTGAATCCCAATAGGGGGGTGACTTTGCCCTCTAGGGACATTTGGCAGTATCTGAGACATTTTTGGTTGTCACAACCCAAAAGGGCTGCTGGTATTCAGTGGGTATATGTCAGGGATGCTGCAAAACATTTTATAAAACACAGCCCCACAACCAAGAATTATCTGGCACCAAATGTCAGGAGTGCTGAGGTTGAGCTGCCCTGGCCCAAGGAGGACTCCTCAAAAAAGCCCCATCACAAAAATAGGTGCTGGGTTAACATTTGACATTTGCCAAAGTAAGTGAGTGAGGTTCAAATGTCTGCTGGGCTTGAAGTCCCTCAGCTCATAACCACCTCCTCCTGCGGGACACCGGTCCTTATCTACTCTGCCCTCGCACCTGCCGTCTAACAGCTACTAAACATCCACTAGTAGAGAAAATGCCTAAGCACCACCCCAAATTCTCCCCACAAGTGACCAGAGCCACACTCTCAGGGTCCCAGTCCTGCTGATGGCACATATTAACCGTCTGAACTCTGAGAAGCTATTTAATTCCTCTTCAGACCACATTTTCTCACTTGTAAATGGGGACGAGTACAGCACCTACTCCGCCCAGCCCACAGTGTGGGCATTAGATTAGAGAAGGACTGGAAAGAACTCAGTGCCTGACACAGAAACGGGGACTCAGTGACTGCTAGCAGTATCTCTGCTCAATATGCCTGCTTGTGCTCATCCACAATAAACCAAAAGCCCCCCAGAAGGGGGAAACTAGGGTAACATCACAATACGCTGCTAATACCTAGAATGGCCGCCCCATACAGGCCTCCCTAAGGGGGAGCAGGGGCATGAGAACTTCTAGGCCTCACCTGCGAAACAGGGGTGAATCGAATTCCTACTGCACAGCTGTCCTGAGGAGTAAACAAGCGAACGGATAGAAACAGGGCTGTCACATTCGGCCCTACAAGCTGAGCTCACCGAGGTGGTTCCTGGCCGCTCAAAGACAATGTGGACTCTCTAATTATTAAAACGATTTCCTGGCAGTAAAGAGTCTCAATCTAACAGAATCTGTCTACTATGAGTTTTCCTAATGAGGTAGCATGTTTTTGGAGGGGTGCAGGGCGTCTTTTCCTAATTTGCACAAGAACGACCGGCCTATGGGCTAAGTGGGCTAAGTCAGGCTCTCACCAGAGGTGGTGGTGAGCACAGTGTAACCCCAGCTCACCTTCTCCAGTTCCTGCAGGAAGACCTGAGCGATCCAGGAGGCCCTCTCGAAGCAGGTGATCACTTCCTCCTCCCTCTCAGTCAGGCGGTGGCGGGAAGCGATGGAGTTGGGAAGGCGTTCCAGGGAGAGGCCTGCAGGAGGAGAGCACCTCACACCTGCCCTGCTCAGGCCCCCCGACGCCAGGTCCTTCCCGCGGGGCCCGGGTGGGCTCAGCCGAGGAGACCTACGCTCTGGAGCAGCCAGCGGGATGCGGAGGTCCGGGGGAGGGGGCTAAGCAATGGTGGGATTAGCAGCAGCTGGGGTCAAGCGGCGGGCAGACAGCAGGCACCCATGCCCCACATGGGGAACCACACTGTGACACCCCCACGTCCAATCCTGCCTATGCTTCCAGACCAACCTCCTTAGAAATCCATTCCCGATCCTCCTTCCTGTTGCTAGAAGAAAACGTCCACCCCCCAGGCACTCACCAGCTCTGCACTGCAGAGTGATTGTGCCCAGCTCTTCTCTCCCCAAGTAGCTAAAAGCTCCATGTGGACAAAATGTGATTCTTTGTAGACCTCCACAACCCCTAGCACACAGCAGAGGCTCGAGTTACACAGCATTTTACATGCGCCTCTCCCGTGGAACCAGTTTCTATCTTGCCTAAGTGATCTGCACTCAGGTCTTATCTGCCTAGAGTGGATGGACATCTGCTATTTTTGCCTCCACATTCCCATTTTTTCTTTCTTTTTTTAATCCTCCCCCAAGGACATGCTGAGAGAGAGAAAGAGAGAATAGCAATGATCTGTTGCCTTCTGTATGTGCCCTGACCAGGGGATTGAACCCAAAATCCAGGTATGTGCTCTGACTGGGAATTGAACCAGCAACCTTTCGGTGCACAGGACGATGCTCCAACCAACTGAGCCACTCCGGCTGGGCACTTCCCATTCTTTCAACAACAGCACCTCGCTTCCCTTTGAGCACTCCTCCCACCATCTCAGCCTGTGTGGTTCAAAGGTGATGACCGCACTCCACCTCAGGGGCAGCACATGAGCCAGGCTGACCCACCATCAGGACCACCAGTGGCCAAGGAGGAGCACACGGCCTAGTATGAGCCAAGAAAGAACCAATCCTGGAAATGTTACTCTTTCCACTGGGCTTGGTAAGCTGGTAAGCGGTCAGCCTGAAAATGTCAGGGAAAGCCTGCCTTCAAATGCAGCTACACAGTGTGAATGCAGTTAACACGACTGAACTGTATACATTACAGTGGTTAAGATGGTAAATAGACAGAGAGGAAGGGGGAGGGGAGGGGACATTTGAAATGTTAAGGGCTTGGTTATCAGTTGGATGTTGGGGGTATAGGGCAGGAGAGAGTTGAGGATTCTGTCCTTATAGTTCCTTGGTAGTTCATCTTGAGAACCCAGTACATGCCAAGTACTGTGTGGAGCATTGATCTCGGACTTCCAGCCTCCAGAACTGTGAGACATAAATGTCTGTGGTATATAAGCCATCCAGTCTGTGGTACTTTGTTATAGCAGCCTGCACTGTCTAATGTACCATAACTGCCACATCCACACCAACCTCCCGCGCCCAACTGCTGACCCTACTCAAGTTGCTCCTGCTGCCTAGAATGTACCACCTCACCCCGTCCACCCAAAATTACCTCTCCCCTTCTACCCCACTGACACTCCTCTACAATGCCCCTCCCAACATACCCTGGTATAACCAACCGTTCCCTTCTTGGGCCCCGGTCTGTATTTTACATATATCTGCCCCACCATTTCTTAGACTTATTTGTTCACGCATTTGCCCAGCCAGACTGTAGGCTCCTTAAAGGCATCAACCTCACCGCATTCACCTTTCCACAAGCTGGCACACAGTAGGCAGTCAGCAAGCACTGGCTGGCTACAGAAACAGCAAGTCTGATCACGTCTGACAAAGTACAAAGTGCTCTGCCAGTGCAAGGTGAGGAGTTACGATTGTTTTCTTGGCTATGTCCCAACTCTTACGGATTCAGTGACCTTGCCCTCTGCCAGGCTGGGTTGTGAACAGGTCCGAAGGTCGAGGTGCCTCGGCCTAGGGGGAGGCAGGCACAGAATGTGAAGGCCCTTGCTCAACGCAAAAACTGTTACCCGAGTCCCTGAGTGTCAACCTGCTTCCTGCCAAATGACTCACAACCTTTCAGCTCCTCACTGGAGAGGACTAAAGGGGGAGGAGAAACAGAGGGAGCACTGGAGGAGGCGCAGAAAGAAGGCAGGAGAAGGCGGGCCCCACTGCTCACTGCTGGCTGGCCCAGCCCCTGATCCTCAGTCACGCGGCCTGTCTGCCCTGCAGGAAGGTGGGACAAACATACAAGCTGTTCAGGGACCTAGACAGGGAGGCTAACTGCAGGTGGCAGGAGGACACCACCAATTCCAGAAGGCAGCGTGGATCTGTTTTAACACAGCCACCCTGTCCCCCTACCCTGAAATGTGCTGTTGACTGGGTCTCCTCCTGCCCCACCTCTGGGTCCAGAACTGTTTCTTTTGCTCCCAGCAGAAGCCTCTCCACCACGCTTCTCTGAGAATTCTGAATCTCACCCTCTCCTTCACTGCTCACAGCACAACCACCTCCTCTCTGAAACCTTCTTAAGCCTCCCAACCTCGGACCACCAGAGTGTTTTAGCTGCATCTCCTTTTACCTACTTTGTCACCACCCTCTCTGCCCATTTCTGATTGATCTTTGCACCCAGTGAGAGCAGGGCCCGGCTAAGGGTGAGTGGATGGGTGCATGGATGAATGAACATACTCTCATGCTGAGTGCAGAGCCCAGTGGGTTTCTCTCTCTCCATTTAAAAAAATAGTTCTTGCAGAATTCATCAACAAGTTGTATGCTTATACAACAGAATACTACTCAGAAATAAACAAAAGGACAAACTCCTGATATACTTACAACATAGATGAATCTCTCAGAAATTATATTGTGCAGACAGAGCCAGATATCAAAAAGTATATGCTGTATTATTTTAGTTGAATAATATTCAAAAGAGGGCAAAATTAACTTACATTAATAGAAATCAACCAATCACTGCCTGGGGTGGGGAGAGGATCAATTGGGAAAGGCCGGAGGGAACTTCCTGGGGTGATGAAATTGCCTTTGCTTTTACTGGGGTTTTGGTTACATGGGCGTTTGCATTTGTCCAACTGATCAAATTATACACTTAATATCTGTTCACCTTACTGTATGACAATTTATCTAAAAATATGGATATGATGCCTTTTCTAAGGAAGAAGTTGTGATTCTGGAGAACTAAAAGATGAAAGCAGAGGGGCTGCAATCACCGAGGTGGTCTTCTGTGAAATAGTTTCCAACATGCATAAAACAAAAACCTTCCTGCAGCTGGGAATGGCTTTTCCTAATCAGGGTCACAGTCCCGTCACCCAGTTCTGCCCACAAAAAGGGGCTTCTTTACCTTCTATTTGCTCTCTGATTCATATGAAGGTCCATTTTCCTGCCCACAAACAGGAAATGTGCTGAAGACTCCAACTATTGGGTTCCCCTTCACCCTCTGCCCTTGAGTATTTCTGCTCAAGTGGCCAGAATCCAGATCCAGACGGAGATGGGCCGCTCCTGAGCCGGGCCCTCAGAGGATCCCAGTGGTTTTAACAAAGCCTTGTCAATCAGGCAGGAAGCCAGGGCTACCAGGATGGGCCAGGCACTACCTCACAATTCCTGCTGCCTTTCTGTGAAAACACCCAGCTCTACAAGTCAAGGGAGGGCTCCTTTCAAGAGGAGGGCTTGCTTTTTTCATTAACTTTCGGTTTGGATGAAAGCTGATCCTGGTACATACAGCCCAGGGCTCAACACCCATCCTGCTGCCAGCCTCTCCAGTCTGGGATGACTCATCACATCCCAGACAGCTGCCCTTCCAAGAAGCTCCACCCTGGGAGCCCTGGGCCCTGGATGCAGAGGTGGAGAGCACAACGCTTCCTCTGCAATGGAACTTTCCATACGGTGGACCTCCTCCCTGTCGCCTACCCAGCTGATCCAAGAGCACAGGGCACCCACAGAGGGCTGAGCCAAGAGTTTGTGAATCCCGGGGTGGGGTGGGGTGGGGGAGGAAGAAATGCAAGTCAGTGCTTCAGCCCTTAGGGAGGAAGCCTCAAGGCAGGTAGGGAAGAACCCCCATAAATCAAACACAAAAGTGGACAACTGTGGGAATGGTTTAGCTGCTGTGGAAAACAGCTTGGCCGTTCCTCAAAAATTTAAAAATAGAATTACCATATGACCCAGCAACTCCACTTGTGGGTATATATACCCAAAAGAATTGAAAGGAAGGTCTAGAGAGATATTCATAGCAGTATTATTCATAACAGCCAAAAGGTAGAAGCAAACCAAGTGTCCATCGGTGGATGAATGGGTGAACAAAACGTGGTACATGCATACACGGAATATTCTTCAGCCTTAAAAAAGGAAATCCTGCCATATGTGACAACATGGATGAACCTTAAGTACATTATGCTATATGAAATAAGCCAGTCACAAAAAGACAAATACTGTATGATTCCACTTTCTATGAGGTACTACAGTACTCAAATTCATAGAGACAGAAAGCACAGCAGCAGTTGCCAGGTGTTTGGGGCAGGGGGGATTAGGGGCTTATTTAATAGGTATGGAGTTTCAGTTTTGCAAGATGAACAGTTCTGGAGATTGGCTGCATAATGTGAATGTACTTAATACTACTGAACTGTAAGCTTAAAAATGGTTAATATGATAAGTTTTATGTTATGTGTATTTTACCACAATTTTAAAAAATGTTTTTAATGGTTAAGATGCTAAATTTATGTTCAGTATATTATGCCAATGGAAAATTTTTTTAAAAAGTAGGCAATTTGACTCCTGCTATCAAAGTCTCCGAAAAATATAAATACTTTGATCCGGTTACTCTACTTTTTGGAGTTTATGTTTAAAAAAATTAATGATGTATGCAAAAATTTAGGTTCAAAGATACCCACTGCAGAACTGTCCGTAATGGCAAAAAATGAGATTTAACCTATAGGTCCAATAACAGGGAACAAGTTTGCTAAACTATAATAGATCCTTACCATAAAATTCTTGCTATGAAGCCACTTTAAGCAGTGATGTAGATGTGTACTAGAAACTGGTCCATAAA